AGATTTTCCCAAATAAAACAATCTAAAAAATCTTTAAAACCAAATTGAAACTAAAATAAATCCCTCACATCCTGGGGAATATTTCTCAGTTCTTTGTTTTATTTGCTCAATCTTCTTTTAGTCTGGTGGGTAAMATTTGCAGAACATATAAACTCTTTACCGGCAAAGTTTAAACAGGAAGTGTGTAAACTGTGCAAACACATGCATGAAATTAAATTAAATGTAGSGAATCAGAAATGTGAATGCAGTTGTGTGTACATTATATGTATAGRGGTATTACTGGTTGGCAGACTGACAGTGCAAACTCATGATTTTAGTCAACTGTCTTGTCTGGATTAAATTTTTTACATTTTTTTGGGGAAAGGTGGGTGGCACAACTTCAAATAACACTTTGATCCATCTGKATCATTCCAGTAAATCTCTTAAACAAACTCTCGGGTGAGTGAGTGTAATGTGTCACTGACATTTCCAATCATTTGAAACACTCACTTGCAGCACTGGACTGGTAACTTTTCCTGTGAGCCTACGTAACTTTTGGGCTGATGCAGTTTGCTTTTTTTTGTCGTAGTGGTTCATAAAACATGTAAATCAGCATTATTCGTTTAATTGGCACTGGGTTGGTCCAATCACATCTTTAAACCCCTCCCCCCTGCCAATAGATTATTTTCACCTAAATCTTACACAATGCACATTTGACTAATAACAGAGGATGTGTCAGACACGTTGCTTTAATTCTATCGCTCAGCARAAAATAACATATTTACATTTAACCAGACTGCATCTTGGCCACCTTGGCACATGCCAGGCTGGARGTGTACCCACAATTAAAATGCTCATAGCTCAGTGAACACATGATCCCTCATTCCTTATTTCAATGACTGAATGATTGAAGCTGCTGACAGGTTCACTTTTTCTCCCTCTGACTTTATGAGCTGCTAAAAACCACCTGACTGGATACACTGAAAGTTGTAACCATACACGGCTATACAGGGCCTAGCACAAAATTCTGGGCCCTATACACAAGCACTCGCTGGGCCCCCTTCCTCTCTCCATACATGATGTGCCTCACACATACTTAATTCTATTATTATTATTTTGTTTTACAAATGATAGAGCCAACTGTACAAATCTGGAGTGTTTTTTAGGATAGTCACAAATGAACTGTACATACCAAATATAGTATAAGTAATAATTATGCACAATTTGAAATCTCACCGCGTTTCAGTCCTCCTTTCTCAGACCTTTCCCTACAGTCACTATAGTTAAACGAGGTCTGCATTCACATGGTAACCCAGCCTAGACAGCTGTGGTTTTGCCTCAGAGTGGCTGTGGCATGACTTACTTTTCACATCTGTTCCCATGTGAAAAGCTGTGGCTGTGGTTCAGCCACGAAAGCCATCTCGTAGATTTTCTCCACGTACCCCACATGGTTCAAAGCAGAATACACAGTGAAAATGACCTTTCACCACAGTTTCTCTATCGCCCTCCTGGAAATGTCACAAATAAAAGTAATAAAACACTTCCTGTATCCTTACTCCAGCGTTTCTGTTGACTGAATCCATTAATTTGTTTTTTAAATGTTTAAAAGCAGAAGATGCACGATTCATACGGGATAGTACTGTACTATTTATTTGAGTACATAGGACTACTTTTACACTGGGAAATACAGTGATCACATCAGAAACCTCACAAAGGCTGTAATAATATTAAAAGTTAATGTAAAGAGCTCCCTCTCTCTTCACACTCTCTCCATGTCGCTCAATTCAATTCACTTCAATAAGCTTTATCGGCATGAGAGTTACATTAAATAATAACGATAACAATAATAATAATAATAAATTCACAAAACATAGCAGTTTGATTCTGAAGAATGAATCATACAATATATCAATGTAAAAAAACACAACAACATGAGGAGCAGAGAAAACAAAAAGAAATAAACACACATGAAGTGAATGTTGTGGTGGAATGTGAGGAGACTATAACCACAGCTGTCAGGTCTGGTTATGTTTTCTTGTCTCATAGGTTGTTACATGCACCAACATATTAGCAGATGTTGCACTTTGGACTGGTCAGGCAGTCAAACTAAATCTGGGACTTTGTCTTTCATTTCTGTGAAGGACTTTGTTCTGATTTCCTCATATGTGAGAGCAAAGCTTTGTAATGGTCGGAGCTGGGGTCAATTATTTTCAGATTTTGAATCAGTTTTGAATTGTAATTAAAAGAGGAAATAASCRAGTTCAGCTCTGCATTAAGTGCAAGTAATTGTTMCTGTAGACTCTGAGAATGCTTCTGTAGATCTCATTGTACAAGTTTTCTCTTTCTCTCTCTCTCTCTCTCTCTCACACACACACACACACACACGTTTAATGTCATTTTCAAGACAAATCCAATGTAAAAACATTGCACTGGAAGTAGCAGAACCTCGGTGGGACCACAGTCAGTGTGACTTCATAATGTGTGCGCTCACCAAATATAGCAACAGTTTTCTGCCCTCAGTTTGCTTTCTTTCTCTTTCCCTTCTATTTCTTTTCTGTTACCCAAACTTGATGTTACCTTTCTTGAGGAATGACAAATTGCTCACCAGCATAAGCAATCATGCTGYCACTCAATTCCATTATGTTTACTGAAGAAGTGTGAGACTATTATGTTTGTAGCAGTGAGACAAGGGACCTCAGGGAGCCTCCACTATTTTGAAGAGAAAGTTTGGTTACTCAATCGATTTATTCAGAAAGTTTATGCCAAAAAAAACATTCAGGCTCGTCAATGACCTCTCCCCTTTGGGGCCCTGGGAGGGCAGCACCCACCCCAATTGTGGCTATATAAGAGTGGTCCTCTGCCACAGTCCTGCATCACTTGCATCTACAAAAGGACAGGTAAGACTCACACTCACACATACACAGATGACCACACTTCCTGTAATGAAGGTGCGCTGCTGCAAAGCCAACATTGGCAAACCAACGTACAAATCTGTAGTACAAAGAGTTCAGTCTCAACTTTTTGCTCTTTCTTCGTCGGTCAGGATGAAGCTGCTCTTGGTTGTTGTTGCTGCTCTGGCCGTKGCCAGCTTTGCCAATGCTTCCCTGCAKGACCACGATTTCMACGCCTGGAAACTCAAGTTTGGTGAGGCAATGTTAAATCTTCTCAGACWGTTTTATCTCATTGTGTTCTTTTATCAAATACAGAACATGTTAAGATTTTATCAATAAGGCTTACTGACTTTAAAGCCTTCAAATTTGAGGCTTAATTCTGGTGATATATTGTGCTCATCTACACTTGACCACAAATCTAAATCTCCAAAAAGATTCAAATGCTTGTGTCTGAACTGATGTCTTGAAAAATGATAATTTCTCTGGATTCTCTGCCCTCTGATTTTTTTCGTTTCTGGTTGACAGGAAGATCCTACAACTCTTCATCAGAGGAGGACAAACGCATGCAAATCTGGCTCAGAAACCGTGAAATCGTGATGGCACACAATGCCATGGCCGATCAGGGCCATTCAACCTACCGCCTTGGGATGACCTTCTATGCTGACCTTGTATGATAAGCGGCCGAAGTTGTTTACTAAACACCATCAGTGTCATTTTGTTGCAGTGAGATTATGACCAAACTGTGATCGACATTTTGGATAAAGTAACTCTCTGAACTTTTGTCTGTCCTCACCAGGAACATGAGGAGTTCAAACAAACTGTCTTTGGTGTCTGCCTGGGCTCCTTCAAYGCTTCTAAGCCTCGCGGTGGCTCCAGTTTCTTGAAAATGCATCGATTCTATAATTTGCCTCAAACTATTGACTGGAGGCAATGGGGCTTTGTCACTCCCGTCAAGAATCAGGGGAGCTGTGGCTCCTGCTGGTCCTTCAGTTCAGTATGTAAAACCAAACTTGCTACCTGTTTACAACATGCTCTCTGTCACCAACAAAAACAAACTCATCACACACACTGCCTCTAAAATCATTGACCTTCCCACACSCAAAATTACAGACCTGAACGACAGAGCCATTAAATGACTAGCACTCACTAAAGCAGAYGACATGGACCAACCTCTTAATCCCAACTTCACATTACTGCCATACCGACTAAGATACAGAACACTTAAATAGAGAAGGGACCAATTCAGCAGGAGAGTCATACCCTCTGTCATTGCAGTACTGAATAAACTGCCAAGGTAAATGTAACTTGTTTGTACATGTTTTATGTTGCATGTCATGTTCTCTTCATCGGTGGGTTGCCTCTACTATCCTTTTGTGTTGATTGTACTGAAATGACTGTGCAAACATATTTTCCCCAAGGGACAATAAAGTCTAAGTCTAAGTCTCTTCCAGAAACACAGATGTTATTTGTCACMATTATATTTCACTGTCTTCCAGACTGGAGCGCTGGAGGGTCAGAACTTCAGGAAGACAGGGAGGCTGGTGTCCCTGAGTGAGCAGGAGCTGGTGGACTGCTCTGGTAACTATGGCAACTATGGTTGCAATGGAGGCTGGATGGACAATGCCTTCCGCTACATCGTGAACAAAGGAGGTATACACACAGAGGACTCCTACCCATATGAGGGTCAGGTAAACAGAAAGCTTCTGTGGATATTCATAACATTATTTGAATGCAGCTACTGTATATGGTCTAAACCAGCATTTTCATTGTCATGCAAAAAAAGTAAAAAAGAACTTGAGAGATGTGCAATACTGCCATCTTGTGGACTAAACTCTWAACAACTAACCCCTTTCATTTACTTTTGCCATTACCTTTAAATAATGTCGTAGTATTTTACCTGCTGTCTTTGTCTTTAAATGACCTTGTAATATTTTCTTCTTGTGTTTGATATTTCCTATTGTTGTTCTTCTTTGTTCTCTTTGTGAAGTACTTTGTATTGCCTATTTTGAAATGTGCTATATAAATAAAGTTATTAATATTATTATAATGTTGTCTCTGAATTAGGTGGGACMATGCCGTGCCAACTATGGCGAAATCGGTGCTACRTGCACCGGCTACTATGATATACCAAGTGGTAATGAAMATGCCCTGAAGGAGGCTGTGGCCACCTTTGGACCCGTGTCTGTAGCCATCCATGCTTCGGACCAATCTTTCCAGCTTTATCATTCAGGTCCATATAACATCCTTTTCAAACTCTGGAAGAATTAAATTTTTTAGTAAACTATGTATTTATCRTAYAAGTGAATGTGACTAATGTATGCTTGTTTCCAGGAGTGTATAATAACCCRTATTGCAGCGGCACAGCATTGGACCATGCTGTACTCATTGTGGGTTACGGCACTGAATATGGACAAGACTATTGGCTGGTTAAGAACAGGTAGATACACAAATATATTGAATTGTGAGCTCCTCCCCTTTATKTTCCAACTGTCACAGCTAGTAAGCTCAACTAAAATGAARTGAATCTCAGCCAGCATGATATCAGACTCTTWTCACTGCAATCATTTATTATTTATTATATCAGAGTTTTTTTTWGTTGTATGCTGTTGTTGAAACAGTGATTCAGTTTGATATATAGAGCAGCTGAATATGGTTGGTGATGTGTGTTTGTGTAGCTGGGGTCCAGCCTGGGGAGACCAGGGATACATCAAGATGAGCAGGAACAGATATAACCAGTGTGGCATCGCTTCTGCAGCCAGCATCCCCCTGGTCTGAGAMGGTGAGGTCATGATCCATCCTGCTCTCTCCTTTCTTTCTCTCTTGCTGTTTAACTGAAACCTGTGGGTGTGTGTACACAGATATGCCTGAAAGTGTGTGTGTGTGTGTGTGTGTTTTTACTGTGCACTAATTTGTTTATTGTATTTGCAGGTCTTTCATCTTTGTGGCAGAATTTACTTTAATTTCATAAAGAAGCTGACTTATCACTCGACTGCTGTTGTTCTTGTTTGAACTGTACTCTGGTGCACTTTTAATAGAATAACTTTGATTGTGAAGAAATGTGAAGAAATAAATGTTTTTCTTTCAGAGAAAAAAAAAGAAGACCTTTGTGTGTTTGTGATTTTTTCTTTTTCTTTCTGTGGCTTCAATGATATTGTGGACCTTGTAAATAGTGCAGAGTCATTTGGCCATTTGCCTTTGCAACACAAAGGCAAGGCTGCAAGAGTATGGAGGATGAAAAATGACATGTGTAAATTAATAAATGTATTAATAAGATACAATCAAAATAAATGGTGAAAAAAATAAATACATGTATGTATATGTATTTATATATTTTTATTCACCCACATTAATTTAATTCCCTATTTCTGTATCCATATGTAAATGAGGTAGGAGGTCTTAACCTCAGTCTTGAGCAGGATTCACCAACTGAGGGATCCAGACAGAAGCTATCTATTCCTACACGAATACACAAAGTCGCCAACTGATCCTCATCCCGTGTCCCAATAAGGGCTACCATGTGAGACATTTGAAAGATCCACAAAAGTTAAACTAGATTGGTCATGTTACTATTTTCATCTGACCACTCCAAAGGAACCTGGATCTTGAGTCTGTAGGTTCCTCACTTTAATACTGCTGTTCTCCTCTAAAATGCAAACTGTAAATTATTTCTTGTATTGAATCTTAAAATTATCAGTTTTTTTGTTGACCAGAATGCAACAATGAGCTGGTTGGACCACCTGACAAATGTATCACTTGTGGAAGGGAGTTTCCTTTTTCACGAATCAAAGCTCATAGTGATGAATGCATGATCAAAAGATAAGTGGTATAGATAATAGATGGATGGATGGATGGATGAATGACCTTGTTTTCAGAGACGGCTTTTCTTTTGCTCCACAGCTCTATCCTCGCTCACTCCACATACAGTGTCCCTGTTCAGCTGTACAACAATCTTTGTCATCCTTATTGAGGACACTAATTAACTTCAACCCAAGTTAGCATTTTTACTTGTTTCCAGGGTAACACACATATGGGCTAGATTTGCAATACTCACACCAAAATGTGTGTAATCCCATAATAGAATACGAGTGTCTTTGAACCTTAATTTGTAATGTTTGAGGCTTTTGCATGTAATCCAGCTAAACTAGTACCATTGGAGTTCATGTTTGTTTCTGCCAGTGTTCTCAAATGATTGTGGTTCAGTTTATTGTGTTTTCTAAAGACAGAGTTGAGGAGCATCCTGTGTCGTTGATGGAGTTTCTCATTTATCTACGAAGGAATCTTAATTGGAAAATAAAGATTTATTTTCTTAAAAACATAGAAATTTGGTTCAGTTAAACGAGAAGTTCACAGATTGTGCTCTTTCAATTTGATGATGTTGTTCCATTTTAGTTCTTGATCTCTCTTTCCTTCTTAGATATTTTGAATATGGAATTTCTAAACATTTCTCGGATGTTTTTTTGTGTGTCAGTTTGTGTTGAGGAAATTACAGAGAGGATGGATATTACAGAGATATGAGTGGAATATATCTGCTTGTTAAATCACTTAGCGGATGGAATGAACCAATGAACGGAAATACTGCTTAAGCAGGAAAATGCTGCCCTCTCCTGGTGTGTTTGTAACACTGCAAAAAATTAAAAACTTTATGGTGAGGGGGTGACAAGATCAACTTCCACAGTACTTTTNCATAAATAAATATGAGCAAATGGCCATTATTGGAAAATAAAGTGTTACGCTTTGGGGTTTGGACCAGAGTGTAGTGTCGTACATGGAGGTATAGGTAAATAGATTATTAACAAAAGGGCAAGTCCTTAAACGAACAAAAGACAACCACCAACTGAGGGAAAAAACTGAAGAGGTGGCGGTGACAAAGAGCCGAAGAGGTGGTGGCGAAATGAAATGAACCAATGAACGGAAATACTGCTTAAGCAGCAAAATGCTGCCCTCACCTGGTGTATTTGTAACACTGCAGAAAATGAAAAATTTTATGGTGAGGGGTTGACGAGATCAACTTCCACAGCACTTTTTAAATCTGTAATAGTTTAAAATAAATTAACTAACATAGCAGTTTTCAGAGAAAATATGTTATCGACATAGGCTCATTAAGAGTTTAATTCGTTTTACTACAGCAGTGGAAACCATCAGATTTCTTGGATCCACAATCTCCCAGAAAGTTCAACCTGCCTCAGGGGCTGCTGATCCAGTTCTACACTGTCGTCATCCAGTCTGTTCTCTACACATACATTGCTGTCTGGTTTGGATCGGCCACCACAAGACAGGCGGGCGGAGTGGGACAAAGGTGCAGACCCACTGGTTTCTCTAAGCTATCCCAGGGGGATAACCACAAAAATCGCAGTAGCGATAGATTGGAAATTGGGGAAAAACAAAACACCGAAATTGTATAGAGCCACTACAGGCTTCCTTAAAGAAACAATGCACCACAAATGATTAACAAAACCACCACTGCCAAGCAGCTGACTAAAACCTAAAATTGTCCAGGAGACCCAGAAAACTCTAAATGAAAGGCGAAGGCTGGAGTCACAGCAAACTCTTCAGCACCAACTTATTCACTGGGAAAACTACAGGCAAAATTCTTAGTGGTGTGTTTTCAGACACACTGACAACGGGGAGAAGCTCTCACTGCCTCTGAAGGTGAGACAATGAGTCAGCACAGGGCATATGAAGGCTCCCAACACCTGGGCTCTATCACCGCCAATCAGAGCCACACACACCTGATTGCAGTGAGTTGATTCTCTCACCACTCTCAGAGCAAGATGGAGTGCCCTCACAGATATGTGCATCATCAGCTTCTTGTTCTGCACATGCCCTCCAGCATTCACTACTACTAAACAAAGGCTAGTTTTACTCACCTTAATTTCAGATACATTGCCTCACTGTGTTGTCCTGGATTTCAGATTACTAATGTGTCATTTCAACTGTGAAGTGAAAGCTGAAAAACATGAACAAAACAAAATGACATACAACTAAAACGTGTGGTAGCCTATATGGTTTTTCTTGTGCAGTTAATCGATCTCTGTTTTGCCTTTGCAAAATTATATAACTTATCAGAAAGCACAAACCCACCCACACATGCACTAGTTAAATCTTGCCCCCATAAACAAACACAAACCCTGACCGATGAACCTGTTTTCCTGTTGTATTTGCATTGTCATGAGTGTTTGTCTTGAGACAGTTGCTGTCCAAAAAATTCAAACCAAAATAAGTTGCTCTTTCATTTTAGATACTGGATTCAAATATTTCCCAACTGTTTTCACCAGTCTCTATGTTTAAATCCCAGTTGTAGTATGAAGAGACACTCTTTGGTTTCTGTTAATATGACTTATAAATACTCATATCACCTGCTTTATAAGGTTAAAGTACCTGACCATCTTTGAACTGCAGTCCAACAGTAGAGGCATAAAGTAACTAACTGCAAGTATTGC